TCCAACGCAGAAAAAAGTTTCGTACTTTAATATTCCGTATATTAATAATGTATCGAAGAGAATCGAGGACATTACACGTGATTTGGATGTCATTCCATCATATACAGCAATTAACAGTCTCCGTAAATTCATTAAAGTACACAAGGATAAGTTACCAAGGGAACTCCATAATAATGTAGTTTATAAAATTGATTGTATGGATTGTGATGCGTCGTACGTAGGGCAGACGGGTAGATTGTTGAAAACTAGGATGAAAGAACATCGCAACAACATAAAAAGAAACGCGTCACAATTATCAGTCATATCGGAACATAGATTATTGAACCATGAATTTAATTGGGAGGATGTAAAAGTCTTAGACGAGGAGCCTTTTTTAGGTAAACGTTTGATATCCGAAATGATCCACATAAAACGTCAGAGGAATAGTTTAAATTTACATAGCGACACTGATAAATTAAATGAGAATCTTGATCTGTTAATAGAAAAATTTACCAAAATCTAGCTTTGTGATTTTACATAGCCGGGTTTTTTTGTTAGACTTTTGACATGAGTGCCGATTAGTTTAGTTGTTTTTATTTTTATTTTTATTTTCATATTTTATTTTTATATTTGTTTTTTGCGTATATATGTATCGACTGTGTCGAGGTAGAATACCGCACAGTCGTTAGAGTGATGTGTCACGTGTAGCATCGTCTTCTCTCTGTTTTTGCTGTCGGGGTGAGTGTTCTTCCCGGTTTTTAATTTTTAATTCTTATGAATTGTTCTACGTTTAATTTATACCATGTTGATTAGTGTTGGTAAGGGAGTCACGGCTCTGCTTCCTTCCTGACGATGGTCACCGTTAGGGAGACACTCCGACGGCCGGACGGTTTGAATAGGGAGGAGAATGATATTTAATTTATTTGCGGATTGTATGTATACGAGTTTTATAATTTTCTGATTGTACCGATTATCTTCTATTTTTGTTTCTTTGTATTTTGCAGCTACTGAAGAAGACCCGAAGTGGGTCGAAACGTTTAGAATTTAATAAATGAGTTTGATTTGAGATCTCATTTTAATTTATTAATTTTGTGCATGTCATCCGCACAGGCTCCGATTGCCGTCGATATTTTATTTTTATTGTAATAATTTTAGTTAATAAAAAAAATTTATTTTGGAAAATTTATTTCTAATTAAGTTTAAAAAGAAATTAGGATTAGATACCTTATTATTTAAATAAAAATAAAATTAATTAAATATTAAATGTAAAGCATTAAAAATAAAAAATTTGGCGGTAATTTATTATATTAGAAAAACTTGTTGAGTAATTTGATAATTCACAAATGGATTAACTTAATATAAATATTTTATATATTGTTGAAAATTAAATTAAGAGATTTTAATTATAAATTTATATTATAAATTAAATTCAAATCAAAATGTAGAATTATTAAGATTTAGATGAGTTATATTGAAAAATACTTTTTTGTAAATTATATTTAAATTTATTATTTAAAAAGGATTTAAATGTAAATTTATAAAAATTTATAAGTTGAATTATATTTAAATTATGTACAAATTGCCTGCCGTTCTTATTAATTATGATTTGTAAGAAAAGTCGTAACAAAGTAAATATATTGGAAAATGTATTTAAAATAAAAAAAATTTTAGTTTATTTAAAAATATTTTATTTACATGGAAAAGATTAATGATTTAATATGATTTATTAAAATTAAAAAAAAATTAAATTTAAATATTTATGAAAAATTTAATATGATTTGTGTGTGTGATTATTTTAATTAAATAAAATTATAATAAAAAATTAAATAGAGTTAGTTTTTGAATTGTTGAAGTATTAAAAAAAATTAAATAAATATTATAGATATAAGTAATGTAAATGAAAATTTAAAATAAATTAATTAATTAAATAAAAGTAAATTTTATTAATTGTACCTTTTGTATCAGGGATTATTAAATTTTGTTGTTTATTGGAATAATTTAAATTTCTCGGAATAAAATGAGTTAAATAAAATATTAAAGTTAATGTATAAAAATTATTTTAAATATTTATTTGAAAAAGATATTTTAATCCACTTTTATGATATCTAGTTTTTTTATATAAATTTAATTTATATATAAATCATTTACAATTAATTAAATTAATAATAAAATTTAATTAGTAAATTTATGTAAAAAATTTATGGGATTAACTATAAATTATAATTAAAATATTTTATGAATATAAATGATTTAAATAGAAAAATATTTTTTATTTTTAAAAATTTTTTATAAAAATTTAATAATTTATTATGGAATGGATTATTCTAATTTAAATATAATAATAATTTGAAAATTTGATTTAATTAAATAAAAAAATATTTTAAATAAATTAAGTATTTTAATAAATAATGATAGTATAAGTATATTTATATTAATTATATAGAAATTTTTAAATTTAAAATATATATGTATATATAATTAAAGAATTAGGCAAATTTATTTTATTAAATTAAAATTTTAATTTACTTGTTTAACAAAAACATGGTTTTTTGATCATTTAAAATTATTTCTGCTCAGTGATTTTTAAATAGCCGCAGTATATTGACTGTGCAAAGGTAGCATAATCAATTGTTTTTTAAATGAAAACTGGAATGAAGGAATTGATGAAATTAAAGCTGTTTCAATTTGTAGATTTAAAATTTAAATTTTAAGTTAAAATTCTTAAAAGAAATTATGGGATGAGAAAACCCTATTGAATTTAATATAATTTTTAAATTTATTTAAGGAAATAAATTTTATTTTAATGATTATATTTTATTGGGAGGATAATTAAATAAAATAAACTTTAATTTAAAGATAATTTTAACATTAATTAATGAAATTTTTATAAAGGATTGATTATTAAATTAAGAAATTTTTTTTTTTATAATAATTATTATAAAAATTAATTACCTTAGGGATAACAGCGTAATATTTTTAGAAAGATTATATTAATAAAAATGATTGCGACCTTGATGTTGAATTAAAATAAAAATTAAATGAAGAAGTTTAATATTTTAGTCTGTTCGACTAATAAAATTTTACATGATTTGAGTTCAGATCGGTGTAAGCCAGATCGGTTTCTATCTATAATAAAATTAAGAAAATTTTGTACGAAAGGACTTTTTTTCAAATATATTTTTTTAATGAATAAATTTAATTGATTAAATATATGTAAATAAATAAAATTACTTTGGCAGAATTTAAGTGTATTAAATTTAGAATTTAAATGATGTATAATAGAAAAAAATTATACAAGTAATAATTTGTCAAAATTTAAGATTATATTTTTATAGTGCGTTAAATATATTAAGATTGTTAATTTTGTTATTAATTATATTAGTTGGGGTAGCTTTTTTAACTTTATTGGAACAAAAAATTTTAAGATATGTACAAATTCGTAAAGAACCTAATAAAGTGGGATTTATAAGATTATTTCAATCTTTTAGTGATGCTATTAAATTACTTAATAAAGAATTATTTTATGTATATAAATCTAATTATAATTTTTTTATGTCCTATAATTAGATTTGTTTTAATAATAATATGATTAGTATTTCCTTACATTACTAATATTTATTTTTTAAATTATTCTATTTTATTAATAATTGTTTTATAACTATTAGAGGGTATGTTATAATTTTTATGGGATGATCAGCTAATTCGATTTATTCAAAAATAGGGGCAATACGATCAGTTTCACAAATATTATCATTTAAAGTAAGATTTATTTTAATTGTTTTAGTTATTATATTAATAAGAGAGAGATATTCTTTTTTGATTTTATTAATTATCAATTTTATTTATGATATATAGTAGTTTTATATCCTTTGTTTATTATATTTTTTATTAGGATTTTAGCTAAATTAAATCGAAGTCCTATAGATTTTATCGAAGGTGAGTCAGAATTAGTTTCAGGGTTTAATATTGAATATTTTAGGGGTGGGTTTACATTAATTTTTTATCTGAATATCGAATAATTATTTTTTTTAGATTAATTAGAATTTATATATTTAGAAATTTATTAAAATATTCAATAATTTTAACTTTTATTTTAATTAATATTTTATGTAGAATAGTAATTTTTATACATGGCCCAAACAGCACAAGATATCCTCAGGATGATCCTGAATATATCCTAAATATCCTCGGATATATGTGGGATATATTTAGGATATATACAAATCCAAACACCTGAGGATGTTTTTGGATCTCTTAAGGATGTCCTGCGTGGCTATGTATGAAGCACTTTAAGGATATTCTTTTGTGTTTTTTATTTTTTTTCAGAAATAAAAGAAATAGCAAATAAGAAATCTTCACAATTAATCGCCAGTGATAAATTTTAACAAATATAATAAGATGCAATTTAATTCGACCAAAAACTGGCTATTCATTTATTGAAAATATAAGATATATATATATATATACACACACATATAGTGTGTACTTATTATTTCAATAAATGAATAGCCAGTTTTGGTCGAATTAAATTGCATCTTATTATTTAGCAAGTAAGAGCCTTAAAATGCATTTATAGCAACATTTTTATAAGAAATATTTAATTTAAAAATCTTAAGAATGTCAATAGAAAACTTTTCGTAATCCTTGGAACGTCCACCATACATCCTAAATTAATTCAAAATACGTAATTGAGGTATTATATATGCTATTTGAAGGATTAATTTAGGTTATATCTAAGAGCACAAATGTTTGAAAGACGTTCAGAGGACATCCACAGGATGTTAAACATCCTCTAGACGTCCTATGGACATCTTTTGCACATGTGAGCCATTAAGGATCCAGCATACTTTTTCAATATTATTTTAAGACAAATTAAAAAATTTTATATAAATTTTGTTGAAAAATATTGACACGTTAATTGGTTTACCGTGCCGCTTTTTAGCGAACGGTATTAAAGCCGATCACATATATTATGTAGGAATCTAGATGAGTACGCATGCGCGTATGCGCACCATTATGCGCGCAATTACAGAAAGTGCCTGATGTGTGTCTGTTTAACTTTCCCGCCTTGAAAGAAGAAGAAGAAGAAGAAAAAGCTTTCTCGCCGGCTTCTTCGCATCCACTTTGTGTCTTGTGTGTGATTTGAATAGTGTTTACATCATTTCCAAGATATCAAGAAAATACCAAGAAAAATCGAAGGGTAAAATTATTATACCATTTTATACGTACTTTTTACGTAAAAATAACTTTTGAGGTTATGCAACGCGGTAATAATAAAAAAACCTTTGATATGAATTCTTCGACACAACGTAAAATTCGCAAATTAGAGAGTGATATGATTAGTAAGGCTTTAAATGATGGACCATCAACATATAATAATGTATCTAATGTGCCACCTAATGTATCAACGTTTGAAATAATTACAAATGATTCGCATGCATCAATAACTTTTAGTCAAGATAAGATAGATGCAGATTTATCAAATGAAATTAATGATTTTGATCAATCAAGTCCGCCTTTAAGTAGTGAAGAAGAAAATAATGAAGTTTTATTTGAGCAACAAGAGTTTTCGAGTAATGAAGAAATTGATGATGACAATGATAATGAAAAAATTGATTTTAAAACATTTCTAGCTAGTTGGGCAGTTGAAGAAAATATTTCACAAGCATCTTTACGTACTCTTATAAAAGGCATAAAACAGTATACTTGTAATAAATGTCATTGTGATATACCGTCTGATCCTAGGGCACTTTTGCATACTCCCAGAAGTGTTAATATTAGAAATTGTGCTGATGGGGAATATTGCCATTTTAGTTTATTAAAATCAGTAAAAAAATTTGTATCTGTCTCAGGAAATGTTACTAATATAAAAATAAATATAAATATAGATGGATTGCCATTATCAAAGTCATCGCATCAACAACTATGGCCAATTTTAGGTTCTATAGGGCAATCAAAGCAAGTTTTTATTATCGGAGCATACTATAGTACACAGAAACCTTCTAATTCAGATGATTTTTTAAGAGAATTTATAGAAGAAACACAATTATTGTGTCGTGATGGAATCATTATTAATAATAAACATGTTCATTGCAATATAGATTCTATAATATGTGATACTCCTGCAAAAGCATTCATATTACAAGTTAAAGGACATACTGGTTATTCTAGCTGCACCAAATGTAAAACTGAAGGCACTTTTCGCAATAATAAAGTTTGCTTCCCTCAAATAGATGCTCCATTGAGAACAGATTTAGAATTTAGAACAAAGACAGATGAAAATTTTCATATTGGGACATCAATTATTGAAAATATTCCAAATCTTGATCTTGTAAATAATATACCCTTAGATTATATGCATTTAGTTTGTTTAGGAGTAACACGGCGATTACTATATTTATGGTTATTTGGCAATAATAAACAATTTCGTTTAGAAAGTAGAAAATGTAAAAACATATCATCAAATTTAGAAACTATATTAAAAATACATGTCCCATGTGAGTTTGCACGAAAACCTCGATCATTGACTTTCATAAAACTTTGGAAAGCTACAGAATATCGAGAATTCCTTTTGTACACAGGACCTGTAGCTCTGAAAAATATTCTTCGTAGTGACATATATGATCATTTCATAACATTACATGTAGCTATTAGAATATTATGTTCCACAGAAGTACATGACTTATTGGATTATTGTCAAAAGCTATTAGAACATTTTGTTACATCATTTGCATTAATTTATGGAAGTCATAATATCTCTTTTAATGTACATGGTCTAATTCATCTTGTACAAGATGTAAAGAAATTTGGCTCATTAGACAATTTTAGTGCATTTAAATATGAAAATTTTTACAAACATTAAAAAAATTATTACGAAAGCATGACAAACCACTACAACAAATTTGCCGGAGATATATTGAATATGAAAACAACAAAATAGAAGAGAATCTTACAACAAAAGAAATTGAAAATTTTACAATAGATTTGAAATCCATGCATTCATCTGGGCCATTAATACATGCTTGCGGTAATCCACAGTACAAAATAATTAGAAAAGCAAATATGATTTTACGTACTGATGTAATAGCTGATAATTGTTGTTCATTGGTTGATGGAACTATTATATTAATAAAAAATATAGTACACAATAAAGATCTCAATACAAATGTAATTATAGGTCAAAAATTTTTACACAAGCAAGATTTTTATAACACTCCATGTCCTTCTTCATTATTAAAAATATTTAGTGTGCACGGTTTAAGTGAATTAGAAATGTGGCCGATAGAAAATATTTATATTAAATATGTTAAATTACCGTTATCAGAAAATAAATATGTAGTATTTCCAATGTTGCATTCATAAATAGAATTAAAAAAATATGTATAATAGTAATTTTTTTAACTTTTAATTTTTTTAGTTTCTATATTGGTTCAATAAATTAATTTTATTCCAATTCGTTTTTTTAATTTAGCAGGATTTTTGCTAGAAATATTATGTCATTTGCATATGTCAAAAGACCAAATCTTTTATCTTTTTATTACCACACTTTCTCTGCTTCTCTTCTCAATTTTTGTTCTAGAGATTTTCCATATACAGTTTGAATAGTATTGGGTTCAGAAAGGATCTTTTATGTATTTTCGTTAATTTAGTTACAATGGATGACCAATATGCTATAGTAGAATTTAACGATGGGCTGCAAATGATACCTTCTTCTTGGTTAACTAAAGACAAGAAACAGGCATATTGGCCTACTTTTACATCAACTGAACGATTTTCCAAAGCTGTACAAAAATGTATACCCAAAATGGACTCTTGGCCGCTGTATGAAGTTAAGAGAATTTTAGCAACTGCAAGTAAGTAATAAATACATAAAAAAATAACATTAATGTAGAGTCATTTGCGTTTTTATTTTATTATTTATTCGATAATCTTTAATACAAAATAATAGAATAAATATATATAGAATGCTATAAGCTGTAAATAAAAAATGTTTAAAAAATTATTTATATTTTTAGGAAATAAAATTTTATTTTTAAATAAAAATTTTTTGTTTCAAAATTTGTTTTTTATCAAATAATTTTTATTGTTTTATTTTTCAGATAAATACGAAACAGGAATGATTAAACTAAAAAAAGCAGAATTTATATCAGATATAAATTCTGAAAGTGATGATGAAACATCAAAAAGAAATAGAAAATATAGAGCAAAAACCGTTCTTAGTAGCGATGAAATAAGTTCAAATGAAGAAGAAAATATTGTCAAAGTACCATCTTATCCAAAAGTGCCATCTTCAAAAGTACAAAAGAAAAATAATAATATGGAATCAAATAAAAATCCAGTAAATAAAATATTTAAAAGTTCGTACAAAAATTTTTTATATTGTGAAGTAATATAGAAAATTATAATATGTATATTGCAATATATTATAGATTATATATGTATATATATATATATATATATATATATATATAATATTACAATTTAATTTTTAATGTATATTTTTATTTTAATTTATTTTATATTTATTTTTATATTATTTTATATTTATTTAATTTATATTATATTTTTAATTTATATTTTTATTTTACAGGCAAAGATGTATTAAAACAGATAGAAAATGAAAATATTAATCTATCAACAACTACACCTTCAAAGAAAAGTATAGAAACAAATATACATTTAAAGAAAACAAGTGTAGAAAGACACGATTCAATTAATAACACAGGTAATTAATTTATATTTATGCTAATATATGAACTGTTTTCTTTGAAAGTATATATATAAGTATATTTATTGTTTTAAGATATTTAAAAGATTTACATTAGTCTGTAATTGAAAAAAACTTTTACTTTTTATTTTTTAAAATTATACTTATTTCCAATTTTGAAACTATTTTCAAAAAAGAAAAAGACTCATATATTTTATTTTACATTTATAAAGAAATTAATATATATGTAATTTTTATTTATACACAACATGTCGTACTAGCATCATATTTTTACTTTAAAGTTATAGACAAAATATATTGGAAAAAATAAATATGAAAATTACAAAAATTATTACATGTGCATGCATTAATTATCTGTATTATTATTCAGTTAAGTATAATGGAATTACAATTGTATTTAACTCAATAATAATAATGTAGATAATCGATACAAGTACATGTAATAATTTTATTTTTTATATTATTTAATGGTTTTAAATTTAATTTAAATATTTCACAATTTTTTGTTTTCTTATTGTTATAGAACATGATTTCAATCATAATATAAAAAGTGCACACGACCCTCAAGCTTATTTTAAAACTGATTCTGTTAATACTTGTAAGTACTAGATTATGTTATAATTTACAAATTTCATACATATATTTTATTATTTTACAATGTTTTAATTTACAGCAATAACACAGTTTGAACGATATATTATTCAAAAGCTATTAGATATAAAGCATAAAATTTCATCAATATAGGAACAACAAAGAAATATTAATACTAAAATAGATTATATTCAAAATCAAATTCAAACATTTGGGTTAGATGATAAAACAAAAAAAAAGATGTTGAATCAGACTACATGGAACTCTTTCCTGTAGAAACATTAGAAAAATTACAAGAATTAGAACAACTATTAATTAATGACAAGATTAATCGTAAAGCATTAGTATGTATTTAAACAATAAACTATTATAACAATGTAAAAATTAAAAATACTTAATTTTATTAATTTTATTCAGATGAAACAACTGGCACGAATTGGTGGGACAGACATTAAGTCAATAACATTTAACATATTACGACGAATTATGAGCGATTCAGTCGGAAGTATGTTCAGTTATGTTGGAGGAAAAAAAAAGTATCCATTCTTTGATTTATATCTCCGAAAAATTATATTTGGTAAATATAAATTTAAAATATTATATATTTAATTGATAATTATTTATCTCTCAATAATGACTATATAGCAAAATAAAAATTATTTATGTAATATTCTTATATACAAGAAATCTATAATAAATTCAATTATTTTTTTAGCTTTTTTTAATTACGTGACTTCCTAATTGCTATATATTGCTTTATTATTGTTTTGAGCTTCTATTCTTAACTCAATAATGTTATTTTGTTTTTAGCTTAATACCTTATTTTTTTGTAAATATTTATTATATGTTAATGTATATTTTATTTTAGGTGCAGTAAGAATTTACTTTCCGGAAGCTACTGAACAAAATATTTCACAGCCCATCAAATCTTGGTTGAGACATGCAAACGAACGTAGTAATAAGAAAAAGTATGTTGCTTTTTTGTTTTTATAAATTTTATATTATAAATTAAAATAATATGTTTATGAGTAATAAAGTTTTAAAAAAGTTAATATAATTTTAATATTATTTTAAGCTTAAATAAGTCAAAGAAATCTTTGATGCAAGAAGATGAAAACCAATCTAATATGGAACAGCATGCAGATAGACGTCCACAAAAAGAAAAGTATGTAATATATTAATATAAATACAATTTTTGTGTGAAATTTTACTAATTTTATTAATCTAATAAAAAATCTTGTAGCATGGATAAGAGAGCAGAATCTGTTGCAAGGGTCTGTTTGCAAGAAGACAACCAAGAAGCAGATGATGATGATGGTGATGAAACGACTTTAGACGACTTAATTGGCCCTAATCTCTTTTAAATAATATGTATAGGCTCCGAAGTTAATCACTTACCATGTGCAAAAAAACTTTTCTATTTGGTTTAAGTATTATTTTTAGTTAAAATCTACTCATCTATGTACACATGATGGATGTTGTCTACTTAATGTAGTTTTTCTTTTCATTATATATTTTTTATTTTCAAATTTAAAGAATTTTTCAAATTCGAATTTTTTCATATATATAAGTATATACATATATATATATATATATATATATATATATATATATATATATATATTTTTTGTTTTCATTCATGTGCAATAAATTTGTAATATGCAATAATATGCAATAATATTAATAAAAATTTGTATACATATATATGTATAATATGTGTAAAAAATTTTTTAATTTATCCTGAAATAGTCCTGAAAAAATATGCATATAACCTAAATTAATCCTAGAAATAGCATATAAAGCACCGCAATGATGTATCCTGGACTAATTTAGGATGTATTGTAGACCTTTTAAGGATTATAAGAATTCCTATGAACATCCTACAAATATCTTTAGGAAGTTGAAATAGAATCTCCTGAGGATACTTCTAAGCATTATTGAGGCGCTCATTTGCTATTCCTTAGGACATCCTAAGAACGTACCAGGATTACAAACAGACGTCCTCAGGATATGTCATATATCCCAATAAAGTATCCTTAGGAGATCCAAAAGGCATCCGTGTGCTGTTTGGGAACAAATGAAATTGCCCGCAATGTGTGCATTTAAGAAAATATATTTTAAAATAATATTAATTTACATTTTAACAAAGTTATTAGGACGTCGATTACATTTGGGTAAAATTTAGCGTGGATTTCGACGGATATAACCCAATAAAAAATTAAAAGCACTTTTTACGTCCGCGCGCATCAACTTCGACTTGCAAACAATGCGCTAAGTAGTGAGTCGCGCTCGGAACAGGGCGCCACTTTATGAATTTGTAGCGACTTATAAATAAATTCACCAGATCTTTGAAAAAGTAATGTTTATTCATTGAAAGTATAAAGCGAAAGAACAAAAAGAATTAATATGTAACAAATAAATGAATGAATGTGTTGTTATGGAAATATTGATTTTTCTTTAAAACATTATGTATATTAATGAATTGAAGTTATTACAAATGTATAAAGATGTAAAAAGTGTAAAAGTGCAGTGAAAAGTGTAAGGTGTAATAAAAGTGTAGAGTGTAAATGAAAGGTGTGGATGATGAATGCTACAGTACTCCCCCCCAAGTGACGATATTCGTTGCGAAATGGACTTTCTTCTTCTTTGGTGGGTAGGTGCGTAAAGCTTTTCCAACAGTAGAAGAAGAAGAAGGATTTGAAGTAGCAGAAACAGGAGCTGAAGTAGCAGGAACAGGAGCTGAAGTAGCAGGAACAGGAGTTGAAATAGCAGGAACAGGAGTTGAAATAGCAGGAACAGGAGCTGAAGATCTGGTAGAAAGTTCAGTAGAATCTGAAGTTCTAGGAATGAAGGCTGGCTTGAGACGTTCTGTCGAAATATTGACAACTCTTCCTGAAACATTAACTGCAAATAAATGATCAGAGATACGTTTCTCAATAGGAAAAGGGCCAGAATAAGGAGGTTGTAGTGACTTCCTAACAGTATCTTCTCGAATCCAAACATGAGTACAATCAAAAAGATTCTTGTGAACAAAAGGTGATCTTTTGCAATGATGACTTGTAGGAGATGATCTGATATTCCTCATATGAATCCTGTGTTTTTCAAGAAAGATTTCAGGATCTGCAGGAAAATCTTCTTCAATGAAAAATTCTCCAGGAATACGAAGAGTGGATCCATAAAGAAGTTCTGCAGGTGAAGCTTTTAAATCTTCTTTGAAACACGAACGTAATCCCAAAAGAACTGAAGGTAAAGATTCTACCCAGTTGGTTGTTTCGTGGCACATAATCGCTGCTTTCAAAGTCCTATGCCATCTTTCCAGAATTCCATTTGAAGCAGGATGATAAGCAGAAGTTCTAATCCTTTGGCATCCAATTAGGTTTGTTAAAGCTTTGAATAAAGCTGCTTCAAACTGAGGACCTTGATCTGTTGTAATGCTGATAGGAGAACCAAAACGTGCTACCCAATGTGAATAAAATGTTGTAGAAATAGTTTCAGCAGAAATCTCAGAAATAGGAACAGCTTCAGGCCATCTGGAAAAACGATCAATCATAGTAAGACAATAACGGTAATTTTGACAAATAGGAAGTGGTCCAACAATGTCTAAATGCACATGCTGAAAGCGTTGATCAGGAATTGCAATCTTAATTGGAGAATTCTTGGTGTGTCTTGAAATCTTCGCACGTTGACATGGAAGACAAGTTCGAGTCCATTCCTTCACATCTTTCTTCAAAGAAGGCCAAATGAATTTCAGTAGTAATTGTTTAGATGTCAATCTGCCGCTGGGGTGAGCGAGTCCATGAACAACATCAAAAATTCTCTTGCGTAAGAGTTTAGGAACATATGGACGAATTAATTCCGAAGAGCAATCACAATAAATAGGTATGGTTGATCCTGAAAGAATAAGTTTCTTCAACAGAAGTGAAGAATTTGAAGAAAGTAAAACTTGAAGTTCTTCATCTTCTTTCTGATAATTAGCAAGTTCTTCTAAAGAAACTATAATAGGCATTGAAATAGATTCAATTCTTGACAGAGCATCAGCAACTGAATTCATTTTTCCAGAAATATAGGTAATATTTGTAGAGAATTGAGCAATAAAGTCCAATTGTCTGATCTGTCTTGGTGACGCTTTATCCAATTTCTGACGGAAAGCAAAAATCAAAGGTTTATGATCAGTTCTGATAATCAATTGTCTTCCTTCAACAAAATGCCTGAAATGTTTAATAGCCAAATAAATGCTAAGAAGTTCTCTATCATAAGTGCTATAATTTCTTTGAGCTTTGTCTAGTTTCTTTGAGAAAAATGCTATTGGTTTGATATCGTCGTCAATAGACTGTTCAAGTGATGCACCAACAGCAAAGTCAGAAGCATCACAAGTTAAAATAAGAGGAGCATGAGGAGCAGGATGAGAAAGGGTAGTAACTTGTAAAAGTTCTTCTTTACATGACTCGAAAGCTAATTCCGCTTCTTTAGTCCAAGAAATAATTCTTCTATCCCTCTTGCGACTGTCCTTTAAATATTCTGTTAACAGAGCTTGATGATTTGCAGCATCCTTGAGACAGCGACGATAATAATTGATAATTCCTAAGAATCTGCGTAATTCATGAAGTGTCTTAGGTTTAGGATAATCAATAATTGATTTCACTTTTTCGGATGTAGGTTTAACTCCTTGGTTAGAAACTAAGTAACCAAGAAAAGAAATCTCGCTTTGACCGAAAAGACATTTAGCGACATTGATTGTCATTCCAGCTTGTTGAAGACGATCAAAAATAATGCGTAAGTGAGCAATATGTTCTTTCTCATCTTTAGAAGCAATAAGAATGTCATCAAGATAACAAAAGGCAAAACTCAAATCATTAAGTAAAGAGTTCATGAGCCGTTGAAAAGTTTGGGCTGCGTTTCGTAAACCGAAAGGCATTACGACAAATTCAAAAAGCCCAAATGGAGTAGTGACAGCTGTTTTGTGAATATCTTCTTTAGCGACGGGTACTTGATAGTACGCTTTAACTAAGTCGATTTTAGAAAAGATATTCTTACCAAAAAGTGAAGAAGAAAAATCTTGAATATGAGGTAAGGGATAACGATCCGGGATAGTCACTGAATTGAGTGCACGATAATCACCACACAGTCTCCAAGAATTTTGTTCCTTTTTAGGTACCATATGTAGAGGGGCTGCCCAGGAGCTGCTTGAAGGCCTGCAAATTCCTTGCTCCATCATAGACTTGAATTCTTCCTTGGCACATTTAAGTTTCTCAGGAGTAAGTCTTCTGGGAGTCGAAAATTTAGGAGAACCTTCCGTAACGATATGATGTTCAACACCATGTGTTTTTACCGAGGAAATTGGAGAAAAACGGGTGAGTCCTGGAAATTCGGTTAAAAATTTGTGGTACACAGAATCAGGAGATGTGGTAAAAATTGACAAATGTGCAACTTCTTGAATTTTTCCAGTATTCATAAGACCGGTAACATTATCAATCAATTTCTTGTTTTTAATGTCAATTAGGAGATTAAAATGACAAAGGAAATCGGCGCCTAAAATAGGACGTTGAATATCCGCGACACAAAATTTCCATTTGAATTCTCTCCTTAAACCGAGGTTCAAAATTAAAGTTTTAGAACCGTAAGTATTAATTTGAGTACCATTTGCGGCAAAAAGTTTTAAATTAGTATGCCACGGCTTCAATAAAACCTTTTTAGGTAACAACGATATATCAGCGCCCGTATCGACAAGAAAATTCAAATTTGAATGTCTGTCGAAAATAATGAGGCGATTGTTAGAAACACCGTCGTAAGCAGCCTCAGTCTTAAGCGGCGTTTTTAGTTTTCCTGTGAAGCCAAGAATGTTTTGGACATAGAACAAGGTAAAGTACATCGTTTAGCCTTATCACCAAACTTCTTATGGTAAAAACAAATTGATGTATCTTTAATATCTTTATTTGATTTGTCTTTGTTACGCGATAACGATCTAAATCTTCTATTCTCTCTAGACCGGCTTTTGGAACGATCTCGACGACGAGAAACTTCAAGAGCTTCGATTCTTCGTAGCAAATCCGCGAAATCCGAAGATTTATTACTTGTATTATTGGAAACTTCCGCGACTTGCAAACCGCCGTCCCGATCAGCAATTTTATCGGCTAATTCCGCAAGTTTAACAAGAGGAACATCCTCTACTACGGCTAAAGTCGTTTGAATTCTATGTGGTAAGCGTTGAAGCCAAATCATTTGCAAAACACTATCTGCTAAAGATCCTCCAGACAAATGACGAATTTCTCGAAGTAATTCCGAAGGCTTTTTATCATTAAGTTCAATTCCAGCTAATATTTGTCTCAAACGTTTTTCCTCTGAATCCGTAAAGCGATTTATTAATATTTTCTTTAAATAATTATATTTATCTGTTTAGGTGGATTTTCAATGACTTCAGATATGTTTACTAAGGCTTGTTCATCAAGATGACGAATGACAGAACTATATTTAATATCATCTGATCGAATTCGATAAACCGTA